TTTTTCGTAAGATGAAGCATTCGTAAGTAGAGGTACGACTGTATATGGGAATGTAACCCCTCTACTCCATCCTCCCCCCAGCACAGAAATAAAAGCCAGTCATGCAGGAAAAAGAAGGGAGAGCACCTTCATTCAGAGGCAGCTTTTATTAAAATGGGGTGACATCTAAAAGGATACAGTACAAAAAAAATTTGGTCCAAGGGGAGAGGGAGAAAAAGAGAACCACAGAACATAAAGCATAAGAAGAGGGAGCAGTTAAGAACAGTTACACTTTGCCAAGCCAGTCAGTCTCTGAGCTTCCTTCATCTATACTTGCCCTGAGAACCTGCGGCAGCTACATAAGGCACCAGGGTTCTATTCCCCAGCACCACAAAGCAAGAGGGAGAAGGGGAGGGGAACAGGGGTGAGGTGGTCTTTCATATGGCAAAGACGAGTCTCTTAGTCTTAACTTGAACACATATACACACAAAGGGATAGGGTTGTCTGGACTCCTGAATTCATAGCAGTCCCTTACCTCAATTCCAGAGGTGGAAGAGGAAAGAGGGGTTGTCAGTAACTTGATTTTTGCAGCTAGTGTCAGTACAAGCAACTGGGACCAGTCCAGTTGCATTAGAGTCCCCAGAATCAGTCAGCAAAAAGATGCAGCTCCATCCTGCTATGCCCTCCCCACCAGCGAGTGCCCAAGACCAAGAAATGTGTGTCAGAATGGAGCACTTCATCCTGCTAAAAGTCTCCTTTCTCTCATCTAAACATTTGCTCCAGAAACCTGTTCTGTGCCAATCTGTTGGCAAGATGGAGAGCAATTCTAGCTTGAAGATACTCTTCTGACTTTTGGGGATCCAGAGGATAGGGGTGGAGGCAGGACGGTGGGGGAGATGTGGGGTTGTAATGAAGATGTGTCTGCTTTCCTGGGCATTAATTTTAAACTACTAGTGGAGACCAGAAGTAGGCCCAATATCTTAGTTGGCAGCTTCTCTAACCATTCCAAAAAGACACTAAAATGATAGACAACCCTGCAGGCTCCTTGCCAACTTTGCTGCACTGTAGTTTCCAGGGAGAGGAAGCCAGATAGAGAGGGGATGGGGGAGAGGGAGGGAAAGAGAGAGAGAGGGGGAGACTCCATTCTCTCCTAATAGATGAATCTGCCTAATCCACTTAAAGGCTAGAAGTCATGTAAGATTTGCTCTTTCGCCAGACCCTGCAGAAACCTAGAGGCCCCAACCTGTGCCCATCTGACAAAATCCAGAATTGAGGTGCAGAAAAGCGGTCCAGCCCACATCTTTGGAGGTGAGGCTGGGGAGTAGGGCCTGAGGAACTGGCAAGGAGATCCTGAGCTAGCAAGACTCTCAACTGAAACTGTCCCAAATGTGGAAGAGCTTCAGCTGGAGCCAGGACAGGAGAGCCCTGGGGCTCAAGAGAAGGCAACAATCAAGGAAAGAGGACCAGGCAGCAATGCAAGAGCTTTGGCCTGGCTGTCAACTTCACCTTCCCCTCCAAGGAGAGGACTGGAGCAGCAGAAATATGATGTTGGGGTGGGGAAGTAGTGGTAGGTTCTGTGCTGGAGTGGGAATTGTATAGGCCTGAGCAGTGAATCCCTGCAGTGTTCGGCAGCCATAAGATCTGGTGGTGAGGGAGAAGCAGGCCTGTCTATGTGTTGCGGATCCCCAGAGCCTGTTCCAATTCTTGACGTCTCTGCTGAACCTGTGAGAGAAGCCAGAATGACAGTTTTAGTGCATGTACAGTCTCTGATATTTTCAGGCAGCAGAAATAAGAAGTGGATACTAAACCAACCTTCAGTTCCTACAGGAGAAAGACAGAAGCTCTAATTCTAGCAGAGAGAAGTAGCACAGGGGGGATGGGATACTTTTGATGCAACAGTATTCTTCATTCCAGTATGGAATGAATTAAACTCTGAATGCCCTAGAGCCAAAATATAATGCTGAAATTTCAAGATTGTCACCAAATTGGAAAATACTTTCAGGCTGCAGGGCAGAGAGCAGGAACCAGTGCTTCAAATGCCAGACCCAGGGGCAACTGGGCAACTTGGCCTGAAACATTGTGACCAAATTAAGGGTGGGGGGGGAGATATTTCAAGAGTGAAAATAAGCCAATCTCATTGTTTATAGGGGAAATGCCACAAGGGACAGCAATTTACCTTCGAGTAGAAGTATCTGCACACAGCTTCTTGAGCCCATGGCTGGAAGTAGAATTCAGCTCGGCGCTCCTCTTCTGGATTTCCAACAACGTCTGTCATAGCCTGGAGGTGAGAGAAGAGGTTCTGGTTATCTCTTCCTCCTTTCCTTCCTACACCGAAAAAGACTGCAAATTCTTACATAAATTCTCTACTACAGCCTGCTCTAACCTAATACTTTCTAAATGTTTGGGACTAAAGTTCCCATCAGCCCCGGCGAGCACAACCAATGATGACAGATGATAGTTATAATTCCAAAGATCTGGACAGCACCAGATTGGGGAATGCTATGCTATTAGGTTGCAGTCTTTCAAAAGTTTCATCCTGTCTTCTCCTTTGCAACCCCAAGCAACGTAAGCCAGGATATCTGTGCCTGCATGTACCTCATGTGATTCTCACCTTCAAGTCCCGGCACTGGGACTGCAGCCAATCATTGATGAAGCCCTGGGGGTCTCTGGCAAAGCTCAGCATGAACTCACGCTGGGTCTTCAGCTGGTTAATAGTTTCTATGGTTTCATGGATCTGAAATGAAGAAATAAGAGCATAGAAGTACTAAACAAAGGAAGTGACTATGTAGTATTCCAAACAGAGATGTTGGCTGCATTTCTGGCTGGCTTTTATGTTACTGCTGTGCAGTAAAAGGAATGCACCTGTTACAGGACTGCAGTTCACAACACATTTTTGGGAGCTTGTTAATGTTTATTCTTCACTACATTTTTTAAAAAGAGAAAATACATCTACCACAGAGATATAAGATTTTATTTTGTGGCAGTGGTGGGAATCATGTTGCCCTTCATTAGCTATGCTGGATAGGACTGCTGGGACTTGAAGTTCAACATCATCTAGATGGGCCACATGATTCTCACTGTTGTTCTGTGGTCAAATTATACCTCTTTCTTGGCTACTGTTTCACTCTTCCTCTGATACGGCAAGATTCTCTTTTTCTTTTTCAGCAGTGAATTTGTAACATTCCATCAAAAGCACGCATTAGTCTAAACACTTTCATAGTTTCAGAGTAAGGAAACATCCATCCTATCTCAGGCTTCCCTCTTTCCTTATGGGGATCAAAGTTACCAAGGACCAGATGCAAAACTAATGAACAAAATATTTAAGAAAAAAAAAAAGTGAAACAAAAACAGAGTCAGCACTTTGGAGCAAAGACGAAATATATGTATATATAGGTCTGCATGTTCATGCATGTATATAAAATA